AAACAATATATTGTGCGTTGCAACTCCTTCGTTAATGTCAGCGGAAATTGCTGTATGTTCATTTTATTGGCTTCGATTTTCAGAGATAATCGTTAACTAATGTGTTTTTCACCTAGAAACAATTTACAGAAATATAGCTTATTTTCTCCTCATTTTATGTAGCGCTGCGGGCCGAGATGAGTCCTAAGAAAACAATGCTGAACTATGCTTCTATGTATGGAATAAAACACGACTTAGAATAGCGCACGAATTCATCGAAGTTTCTTCCAGAATATTTTCGAGAGCTAATGGCTTCGTTTTGGTTTAAGCTGTTTTCAAGTTCATATCTTAATCAATTATTTTACTATTCTTAAGTTTTGAAATAAATCCTAGTCAAAGCTAACATCGCTGGAAGAAGTGTAGTTAAATTTGAAGGCTTTCAGCAACTTAATAATTTTTAGTTACTGTTGATAGAGCAATCAATGTACTTCGGTCTAGCGTATCGGTTAATTCAGCTAGAGTTTACGGTGGAATGGACAGTATGAATTCTTTTTACGATCAAAATCGCAATCGCCGATACTGATTCTTCATCCGCAATCGTCTATGTCTGCGTAAGCGAGAAGGAGTAAGGGACCTAGTCGGTGGGACGTACTGATTGATAGACACAATTGATGATGTGCACATTAAGACTTATTGATAAAAACGTGCAGATTAGGACGTATACATATTATTACCTGTAGAAGAGGACATACTGATTTGAATCTATAGATATTAGGACGTATAAGAAAAGTCGAATTGAAAAGTACGTACAGAAACAGACGTACAAGGATTAGGACGCACAGAAAAGAACGTACTGATTAAGACGCATAGAAAAGGACGTACTTATTAAGACGTACGGAAAAGACATCTAGAAAAGGATGTAAAGAAAAGAACATACAGAAAGAGAAGTACTGATTATGGCATACTGACCCAGGTCGAGCAATCAGATATTAAGATCAGCTATGGATTCATATATGACCATATCCAATCAGATGTCAGAATCGTATATGTTCATGTAAGATCATACGAAAAACCATACAAAAAATCGTAGTCTCCGCGATCTGATATCAAGCCGTATGGTACGATTCTTGTATGATCCTACAATATGATCTGATATGATGACATAGAATCGTATACTAATAATTCCTCTGATACACTCAGAAACATACATAATTGCTAATCTTCACCCACCCTCATCAATTACACTTCAATCTAACCTTAAATAACCACGTAAATCGATTTAAAAACACAAATCTACAGGTACCCACACTCCTCAACCGAGGGGTACCTAGGACTCAGCCATAGGTACTTCTGCGGTACTTAGGACTAACTCCAAAGTGTTTCTGGCACACGTAAAACTGACTTCTAACTACCACAAAGGTAGATTGGACTCACTTTACAGTACCCCAGCAGTACTTATGACGACTTTTAAATACCTCAGGGTATATAGGACTCACTTGTAAATATCCAAGGGTACCTAGGACTCACTCCTAAGTATCTCAGGAGTATATGGAACCACTTCTAAATACTCCAGGGTGTATAGGACTCACTTATAAATACCCAAGGTATACCTAGGACTCACTCCTAAGTACCCTAGCGCTGCCTTGAACTTACTTTGAAGTAGCCCAGGGTACCTAGGACTTACTTATAAAAATCCAAGGGGTACCTAAGACTTATTTGTAAATACCCAAAGGGTAGCTAGGACTTACTTATAAATCCCAAAGGGGTACCTAGGACTTACTTGTAAATACCCAAGGGATATCTAGGACTTACTTATAAATACTCAAGGGGTATCTAGGACTGGCTTGTAGATACCAAAGAGGTACCTAGGACTTACTTCTAAATACCCAAGGGGTACCTAGGACTCACTCCTAAGTACCCCAGAGCTACATTGGACTCAGTTTTAAGTACTCAGGGGTACCTAGAACTCACTCCTTAGTATCCCAAGGTTGTTTAGAATCCACTCCTAGGTATGCGAGTGGTACATAGAACTGACTTCTGAGTACCCAACGGTTATCTAGAAGTCGTGCCTAGGCATGCTAGGGGTATATGGAACGTTCTCCTAAGTACTATTTTATGTATTGTCGATATAGGAACATTATAATAGAAGTTGAAATGTTAGGGGTGAGGAATATGGAAAAACGGATTATTAATTAAAAGTTTTTGATGTGATAAATTTGCCACAATAAATGAAAGGTGTAATCACTTTGGCCATCGGTGTAGAAAATTAAAAATTGAAGTTTGGATGCTGTATATGCTTGTAAATGGAGACGTATCAAGCATAAGGAACCATTTTGTATGCTATGGCGGACATGAAAAAATGTGAACAAAACTAAGCTTGCGGATGCTTATGCGTTAGAGAGAGAAGGAAGGTAATTGGACTACGCAATTCTGTTTTTTTTAGGTACTCCTCCTCAGAGTAAAGCTGATCGAGTTAATAATGTTCGAGGTAGTGTTATATAGAGCTGACCATGTACGATCAAATAAGAATAGACAAGACTGATTGTACGCAATAGTATCTGTTTCTTATTTCAAGAATCTGATAGAATTTTTTAAGAGCGGATAGGAATCATACAGTTTGATCGTGGTAGTTTCTTAATCTTTGATTCTTGCAAGATTTTTGGCTGACATCTTACAGTCAGAATCTGATGAAATCTTCAGAAATGCAAACATATTTGATATGATAGTAAGATCATATGAAAAATCTTGTATGGATAAGATCTTATACAATCTTGCACGATCTGATGTCTGCTTTTTCGACCTGGGGAGATTAGGATGTACGAAAACGGACGTATCAGAAAGGGCGTACAGAATACTACGTATTGATTAGAACGTACTCATTTAGACGTACTGATATCAGGATGTATAATTTTGGACGTAGAGTAAAGAACATGTCTCTAGAAAAAGATGATTTAATTCGTGATTTAGCCATATTTAGCGTTTCTCACACAAAAGGTCACTTATTTTTTCACCAGCGTTTCTCCAAAGAAACGATAAAATGGGTTATATGTTGAAAGTACCTTTTTACCTGATACTTTTCGGATTGATATTACATGCTACTTCCACAAGACATGTCCACGTAGATAAGGAAATTTGATCGAATTAACATGATTGATTAGTTTGAGAATAGTCTCATTTGAAAAGGGCATATATCAGAATGTATCGAATTCTATTTTCAAAAGTTTGTTATGTTGATCTATGGTACACAGAATTTTTCGAACAAATTCCAAAACACAAAAATTTGTTCATACAATTCTAACTATGAGAATTAATAATTTGCTTTTGAGAAGTTCCATTTATGTGATTCAAATGAAAGTCCATGTCAAGAAACCTCTCAATCGAAAATTTCAATTCGTTAGAATATGCCTGTGAAAGATGACAGAAGATTTATTCTTTCAAATTTTATTGAGTCGTATTCGATTCATCTAATTTTTCACATGCCCATATTTCACTTAAGGAGCAATCGAACAATATAAAATTTTCATTGTAAACTAATCTTATTGCGATCTTTGTATGTGTAGAATTTCAAATCAAAATTCGAACTTAGTTTTTTTATGCCCCTTAAGTAGACTACCTCAATATCCCAAAAGCAATTCGGAAAAACTCGATCTCTCAGTAGGAATAAATTACGAATAAGAACTCTTTTTAATGTTAAATTAGATATTTGAAAACAAACAATAAATATTTTCGTTTTTACATATAAATTCATATTGACATTATATCATTGATAAGTTATATATTTGAAATTAAAAAAAAACGATTTTTTTGTGTACTCAAAAAGTGAGTACACTCTAGAATCGGTCAGTGTGTCCGGCCGGCCGTCCGGCCGTTAACACGATAACTTTTGAAAGGAGAGTCCGATCGCGATGAAATTTTCTACACAGTTTAGTCTTAACAATATCTCGGTCGAGTTCAAAGATGAAAATGATTTGCCGAACCATTGCTGAGTTATTACAAAAATAGTCATTTTTCCCTATGAGAAGATAGACCCTTCTCTGCTTTCATAAAAAACTTTTCCTATCATAGTCATATAAAACCCCAACTATTATATACCATTCGATAGAGAATTTCACGAGCTACAAAATGGTATATAAAACATAAAGAAACAAGAAAGTTAACTCGCCTATTGCGAAGATAATTAATTGGAATTCGGTTCTGTTTTTGTCCACGCTCTATGTGATCCACAATTAGAGCTCTATCTTTCCATCACAGAGATGATAGTTCGAGGTTTTCTAGAATGGAGAACTCGAATCTATGTTCCATTCGCCTTGAAATCCCATTGGTTGAGCAGTGACCAATAGAAATCAAGTTATAGGAAAAACGACTTTCTCAGGGTAAATCAAGGCGAAGAGTTGAAATTTTTACTCTATTCGCCTCCAAGCCCTATTGATGGATCAATAGTCAAGAGAAATAGACAGTTTATAGGAAAGGTTTCCCAGTATAATTTTGATATCCACACATTCGTCGGATGACTCATCTGTCTAATTCACTTTTTGAAGTACACATAACTCTCGGATTTAAATCCGAAGTTTCCGCATTTATTTAAGTTCATATTAAGATCATATCAATGGTAAGTTAGATATTTGAAATGCAAAAAAAATGTATTTTTCTTTTTATATTTAGATTCATATGAATCTCAATTCAATGCTAAGATATACCGGGTGTTCCAAAAGTTTTGCAACATTTTGTATTTTGCATATATCTCGGCATAGGTAAATGATAGAACCTTGATTTTTTTTAAAAAGATGCGCCTTGAAAAGCTCTACAAAAATAGTAATAACAAATTCTAATTGACTCGTATCAATGGTCTTTTCCATATTCAAAAAGATAGATCTATATGTCAGTGGTTTGTCCCACTGCTGTATTTACACAATTTACTAAAGTTTTACGATATTTCAGTAACAATAATTTATTTCAAGATTAAAAAAAGTAATAAAATAACAATATAATAGTTCAATAATTTCGATAGAGTATTACTAGAATTAATTATGTTTATCTATGATTAATTCACCATCATGTTCTTCCACTAAATGTACTCGTCGAAGACGTCCAGTTCTTGGTCTTCCTGATTGTAGTTTAACATTAATTGATCCAGATTTTTTATACCGACGTAACCAATGATGAATAGTACTTCGATGAACCTTGTTTGCCAATGCGTTAGCAATTTCTGGAGCTTTTTTTTCCATTTTTGTAGTGAGCCAAAGCTACATCTCGTAAATCATGACTTTTCACCATTTCAAAATCAAGTGAAACAAAGTAAAAAAATATTGTCCAACTAGAGTAATAGAGGGCCCTAATGCGCACTTTATTTATATAAAAGGAATTTATTATCTCAATAAGCAATAGTAAATGCAGACTTTTCAAACTATCGTAAAACTTTAGTAAATGGTGTAAATACAACAGTGGGACAAACTACTGACATATAGATCTATCTTTTTGAATATGGAAAAGACCATTGATACGAGTCAATTAGAATTTGTTATTACTATTTTTGTAGAGCTTTTCAATGCGCATCTTTTAAAAAAAACTCAAGGTTCTATCATTTACCTATGCTGAGATATATGCAAAATACAAAATGTTGCAAAACTTTTGGAACACCCGGTATAGTTCAAATGAAAAAAAAATAAATATTTTCTATTTTTTTTGTGGCGCCATCTTTATTTAATAACTGAACTCGAAAACTAAGCCAAAACAATACAATAGATGTGGCTGTCACGGATCGCTTAAGCGCAATGACAAACATCAGATAAGTGTGATCTCGATTGAAACGCGACATCTTTTGTAACAGTTTTTAAAAATTTATGAATTGAACTTTTCAAAAATTCAAGCATAAGAACTGCGGTTAACTGCCAGCTTTCGACCGAATGAAAGGAATTCCAAATAGTAGCTCGTCTTGTCAGAATATGTTCACACATTTTGAATATTTCTTCAGCAAAAATAAAATAATTTACAATCAATCTTTATTTTTAAATTGGCTCGTCGAAAATGTGAACCGATTAAACAAAAAATGATCGATGGTGTTGAATACGCCACTGTGCCATGCAGTGTGGGAAGTAAATGATTTAATTGTTTCGATGTTACTTTTTCGACCGAAAACTGATGATATGGCGATATTATCAGTGTTTTTCTTCAACTCAAATTTTGTTTGCTTCATATGTTAAGAATCAATGGAACTAACCAGCAAGTTGAAATGACAAAAGAACAAAGAGAAAGATAATGGCTTCTCCAGACTTGGATCATGCGACTTCTAATATCCAGGCAGACGTCCCCGTCAGTCGGAATAGTTAGAACATTGAATTTTTATTTAGCAATGGATGTCCTTTACTCCGACACTAACAAGTTTGTGCATATTAAAACTTATAATAATGCATGTAATATTTAAATTTTTAGCTGCATAAGTTTTGGTTTTGAATGAACGATTCAACTAATAGATGAAAAAATGGGATAAAATCGGCTAAGATGAAGAATTAGCTCATCTAAATCTAGTCAACACAATCATAAGCAACTATGCACGATATAACAGGTTCGTAAACAATCATGTTTTCGCCGTTTTTATAGCACTCGTATTACGCGCGGAACATCTTCGTATTGGAAAATGACCAATCAAGTTGGTATGTATAATCGTTTGCGAAGGCTCGGGAGTCTACCGCCGTAGGAAAATTTGGGGGCATTGACAATTTTTTGGAAAATTTTGCAAAAATTTTATAAATTTTCAGAAATTTGCAAAGAAGTTGTATTAAATTATTGAGCAAAAAACACCGAACTTTTCAGAAATTGGCAAAGCAGTCTTACTAGATTATCGAGCAAAAAATACCGAACTTTCCGAAGATTGGGCGAAATGATCTTCGCTCTGGACACTCGTGCGGTCCCCAATGGTAGTGTCCTGTGGGAACGACTTTTTGGCGTTCCCGTTTCCTGTTTCTGTACAAAAAGTTTTTCTTCCTGTTTCCGTGTTCCCATTCCAGAAGGGTCAAGAAAAATGAGCTCCAAATTTGGAGTTTACAAATTTCTAGTTTTTCATCAAATTACAGCCTGTATCCCAATGCTTTTTTCTTTGGGCATCACCGATCGACTCATCATGGTCAATAGTACCTATTTGAGCAATCAGAAACAGGGAGATAAAGTTCGGAGGTAGAAATTTCGGTAAAAAACTAGACATTCGTAAACTTCAAATTTGAAGCTCACTTTTCTTGACCGTCCCAAAGTTGCCACGGGAATTCCCGTTCCTTTCCCGTATTCTCGTAATGCATTTGAAGTTCTTTTTCCGATTTTCTTTTTTAGGCTTTAGAAAGATATTACTAACACATCCCAACTTCTTTCGACACCGTACACTGTATAATGCGGCATTACAGAAAATTTTTCGTCAAATGAAAATGGTCAAAAACACCTCTATCTGTTACCATTGTATGATGGTACACATGTATAGTTACTTATTTCGTCAAAAGGATGCATTAGAAGACAAAGGCCAATGTCATTGTACTATATGTGAAACGTATCGGGATTGGAAAGAATGATATAGTGGAGAATGGAATAAACGTAAGCATTTTATTTATTTCATTAAAAAACAGTGATCTTTGTTTGAATTCAATCACAATATGGACTTATTCTAGGTCCCTACGATACCAACCTATCATGTAATGGATACGGAGAAAAAAGTAAAATGTATGGCTTCTCTCTGAACATTGCAGAAGATTGACTACAGTATTTCGTTTTTGTGTTGGAATTGTTTTAGTTTTTTGTTCAGCGGTATTTTTTGTGATGCGATAATAACCATGTTAAGTATTATATGAAAAAATTCAACAAACGAATGTTATAACAATTGTTGATCTTAGATGAATAATATTATTCTAATTAGAGTGGATTGAACATATATCCACGAGAGATTTAATTTATCCTGTTTTACTTTTCTATATAAAATTTTACTTTTCCATAAATGATATTTAACGTTCTACTACTTGTGCTTGCTCTACAACCTTGAATGTTTTTAGTCCCTTTAATCCGTTTAGGTCCCTTTGGTTCCTTTAGGTTCTTTAATCTCTTTAGGTCTCTTTAATCTGTATAGATCTAAAGAGACCTAAAAGAGCTAAAGGGGCCAAACGAACCGAAGGGACCTAAAAGGACTAATGGCACTTAAGAGAGCGTCCGTGAGAGGACCACCCTAGGTCGCCGGGGAAAAAAATTTTTTTTTCGATTTTATTTTCTTAAATGATAGGCCTAGGTAAACTATAGTTAAATCCAAAATATTAGGTCATTTGGTTTTTCCTATGAAAAACGCGAGCTAAAACAAGTGTAAGGGGGTCAAAATTGACCCTAAAAATCCGCTAACAATGGGTGTGCTCAATATTTTGATATTTTCTCATGAACGGTTTAACCGTTTGAGGTCGGCCCGATCTCATTAGATAGGGAACAGTATAGGCTACAAATTTATCCTATTTCGATGGTTCATATCTGGCATAAAAGAAACACTAAAGATCAAAAACCTTCCGAATTTCAAGAAATTCTACACTCTGTGATACCAGTATTTTGGGCTTTTCTTGAGTGGTGCAAGCGGTCCCATACTTCTTTTTTTACCAGACATAGATCTTGTCAAGATACATCTTTTGACATTAAATTGTCAAGACAAAAAAACTCGGGGGTCAAGTTAGTATGGACCACACTGTTGCCTGTCCTACCTAATCACCATTAATCCTACCCCACAAAGACATACAATTTCTACAGAAATCATGAAAACTGACTTCAGATTCGTGTTCAGCTTGAAGAACTGACATGGATAGGATATTTTAAATTGATTCCTTACTTGTACCAAGCGTGTTCAAGATTATGGGTCCATCTCATGGATATATGATCGATATATGCCACGATGTTTTGATAATAATTCACCAATATTAATAGCTATTGAGTTCGGGTTTTTAGCATTCGATAGCCCTTTTCGAAAGCTACAAAACTATATATTTTTCCAGCTCAAAACTCTTGATCACTTGCCCCATACCGAGACACATTCGTCTTGGAGCACGATTTTATGCATTTTTGCCCCCTGTTTAGCCCATTTTCTGCTACAAAACAACAAATTCAATCAAAATCAATGTCATATTCGGAATCAGCGTTAAAAACTGAATCGATCCATGTATGTTTTGACTATTTTTGAGAAAAAAAGTTTTTCTATGAAAAAATGGTCCTGTACTCCCCTTCAGGGTCCATGAAAAAATGTTTTTTCTCAAAAATGCCATTGATCGTGTGGAATGAAATAGCTAAGCATCTCTAATTTCAAAAAACCCAAAATGACAAAATTCTAAACGACAAAAACACCATTTTGAGAGAAATCATTTTTTCGTGAACCCTGAGGGGGAGTACAGGGCCATTTTTTCATAGAAAAAATTTTTTTTCTCAGAAAGACTTCAAACATACATGGATCGACTCAGTTTTTAACGCTGCTTCCGAATATGATATTGATTCTGATTAGAACTGTTATTTTGTAAGTAAAAACCGGCTAAATAGGGAGCACAAATGTATAAAATTGCGGTCCGAGACCAATGTGGCCAGGCATGTCACAGATGCTCAGTGATTTTTGAGTTTGGAAAATATATAGTTTTGTGGCTTTCGAAAAGGGCTATCGAATGCTAAAAACCCGAACTCAATAGCTATTAATATTGGTGAATTATTATCTAAACACCGTGGCATATATCTATCATATATCCATGAGATGGACCCATGATCTGAAACACGCTTGATACAAGTAAGGAATCAATTTAAAATATCCTATCCATGTCAGTTCTTCAAGCTGAACACGAATCTGAAGTCAGTTTTCATGATTTCTGTAGAAATTGTATGTCTTTGTGGGGTAGGATTAATGGTGATTAGGTAGGACAGGCAACAGTGTGGTCCATACTAACTTGACCCCCGAGTTTTTTTGTCTTGACAATTTAATGTCAAAAGATGTATCTTGACAAGATCTATGTCTGGTAAAAAAAGAAGTATGGGACCGCTTGCACCACTCAAGAAAAGCCCAAAATACTGGTATCACAGAGTGTAGAATTTCTTGAAATTCGGAAGGTTTTTGATCTTTAGTGTTTCTTTTATGCCAGATATGAACCATCGAAATAGGATAAATTTGTAGCCTATACTGTTCCCTATCTAATGAGATCGGGCCGACCTCAAACGGTTAAACCGTTCATGAGAAAATATCAAA